ACATTCGAGCTCTCACAGCCTACTCAAGACATGCCAGTGATTCAGCTCTGCTCTCCCAAGTTTCGAGCAGGGGCTCTTTGTTTCTGCATCATGCCTATCTCCTGACTTCAGTTAGGCAAAAAATATCAACGATAAAGCAAGTAATCACTCTGAGCATGTAGCAACAGTGGCTCTTGACACTGAACACTTTGCTTTTTGCTAAACCTCTGCTGTGTAAATAGATAAACGGTTTAGGTTATTCTGTTTTATGAGATACGAAGATGAGTAATAGCCCATATTTTTGGTTCCTGAGTCCTAGAATTACACTGCTGGAATGAATTACTTTCCTGAAGTTTATGGTGTGACACATCATATGAGCAATTGCTGCTTCTCCCCCCCTCCCCTCCCTCCCCGATCGTCGCAGCTAAAATAGTTCGGGCTGGGCTAAAGCACCCAGAAGTGGAGGTGAGGCAAGTGCAAAAGCACCTCTCCTTCTCCACAGATCCTCCTGCAGAACCCAGCAGCCACCCCACCAGCAAACACGGGCACGTGCCATCACCCAAACAGAGGCACGTGCTGGGCACGCAGGGGTGGGTGGAGGGGAGGGAAGGAGTTCTGCCAGCTCTGCTTCGGGAGGGCTTGTGAATCCGCAGGAGAGAGGCAGAGGAGGAGGAGGGTGAAGCTGACTGGCACCAAAAACACTCCCAGCACGGCCCCGAGGGAGAGCGAGGAGGAATGGTTTTTAAAGGAGCAAACGCAGCCTGGAGAAACCCTGGGAGCCTCTGGTTGCTGCACCCAGAGAAAACTCATTTTGCATCCCTTCTTGGAGCAGCCGTGCCTTGACACATGGAATTGCCACAGAGCAGAGACCCAGGCATGTCCCAAGTGCTGCCTCCTCAGGCTGCTGCTCGGTCCTACCAAGACAGTGTTTTTTCTATGAGCTGACCCCCCCCCTCCCCGTAAATGCTCCTCAGTGCTGGAATTCTGCTTTGAGAGCTCCCATTTTTCAACTTCTGCTGTGCTTCAGTTAAGAGGTTGAAGGCATGGCATGCCTGCTGCTGGGAAACCACGTGCTGGGCGCCAGGATGAAGCTGAGCACAAAAGCAGGATAACGCTGGGGCAGGAGGGGAGATCCAAGCTCAATGCAGAACCAGTTTTATACTACACATAAAACTGGGGGAAAGCAACTGGATTC